TTGTTACTAGTAGCGTGGCACTTGTTTCTACTAGCTTCTTGTTACTAGTAGTAAGGCACTTGTTACTAGTAGCGATGCACTTGCTTCTACTAGCTCACGGGAATCAAGCACAAAGCTGATCAAGATTAAGAACAAAGGCGTCAAAGCTTCCCTGAAAGTGTTTCGTCTTCGCTGAAGCTACAAGCAACCAATCGTTCCTGCATTTTCCACAGTGTGTCATAAATGTATTGAATCAATTTCTCACGCAACAAACAGAGATATACGTATAAAAATATATGACACATGTATGCATTCACGATATTTGCAACACGCATCAATAAAAAAGTGAAAAAAGAAAAACTAAACAATCTCCTCGCCGCACACGGCGAAGCCAGCGGACTGGAGGACCTCGTCGGCCTGAAAGATTTCACGTAAAGCGTGGAAGACGTTTATGAAAGACTTTCTTTTTCAATAATGGCGATGGACCTAATAGCGATGGCCTCCATACTAGAAGCGATGGCCTCCAACCTAATAGCGATGGCCTCCAACCTAATACAGTATTTAGAAAAGGAAATCGAGAAATGAAATACAACTTCCATATACTACAAGCAATATCTCAGCAACAGAAAGAGACAATATCGTATCTGCACGTGCAACAATGTCAATGTTTGCTGCAACCAGCCTCTCCTGCCGCTGTCATAGGGAGTCAACCTTAGTTTTTGGAGATGCACCATGTTCGCATGCTTGTCAAACTGCAAAGAAGCACATCACTTTAAGGAACAAACACGTATCTCTCAGACCCCCAGCATTTACCTCGACTGGCTGGAAGCTATTGAACTGGGTGCTGCAACGTGAGTTGCCATCGTGCCACTTGCATTTCAAAAATGCATCGTGTCTTTGTCTGCGGCGCGTTCGTAACGCAACATCGGTTCGAGAAACCTGGCAAAAATGCAAGGATTCCAAGCAATCATTGCTTGAATGTGATGAATTTAGAAAAAGGTTTGATTGACAGCCTTTGTATAGCGATTGGGAACGCTGCAAAGAGCACCAAACCTTAAATGCATGTCAAACATGTCGAAACAGTTTCGTAATTTTGCCGTTTCTTCACACTTTTGCAATCAGAGCTGCTGGCAAACAACCTGAAAGGGCACGACTCAGCATGACATGTTTGTAAATGTCAAGGTCAGCGGCAAAAATGGCACTTAGCCCTCAACCCACCGGAATGCTCCACTGAGCAATTTGCTATCCAAAGGCGATTGCTCACCTCTGTACTGTGAACCAAAATGTTTGCGGACATGCAAGTTTTCATGCTGAAAAAGGTCTAGAATTGTCATCATTCAGGAGACTTGGTTGAAAAACAACAATGAACAGGCGGCGTTTCCAACAAACAAATTGAATAATCCTCAAACGCGTTGCATGTTGACCATGTCCGTGAAAAGTGAATCAGCAGCAATCGATAACTTTTGGTGTCAATGCGAAAGTTGTTTCAAGGTATTTTCAACTATATCTAGCCGTAATGCAAGCCTTCAACACCATCACGTACGTCATGTTCTTCATCCTTGCGTGCAAGTGAGGAGGACGCGTTGTTTTTTTGCCTGCATCAAGTCGAAGAAGCTCGATCACCCCAATGATAGCTGACACATGTTGAATTAAGACAGGCATGCGTCCGTGCCTTAGTTTTGAAGGTCCCGACCCACCACACTTCATTCACATTCGTTAGTGACGAAGTTTCATTCGCCATAACCCAGTGTACTGTCTGCTGAAGGGTGTCTTCGTGCACTCAGAAATGAAAACCCAAGTCCCGTCGGAACAATCAGGCCCAACGCATCAAACACGGAAAACTGCCCGTCACCCACACCGCCCGGCTTTCCAAGGACGCTGATGCAGCGACCTGCCTTCGCGGCAGTTGTCTCTTCTCGGCGTCCAGGGCTTGAGCCTCCCCATAGGGTTCTCGCTCGTACCTGGCCACGCCGCCGGGCATTGTGTGGAGGTCTCCCTCTCCTCACCCCTGCATACACCGTGCCGGTACCATCTCCCAACCACTTCACAGTGCTTTCGCAAAGGTCTTTGAATCGCCTTGACCATCTTTCGGGACTTTGGATGATCGGTCTGCATTTCCAATTTTTTTGCACGGGTGGAGACGCCATGTGTGCAGAGGTTGCACAGGTCATCTTGTGCTAGTGAATAGAGAGTTACGAGCCAGGTTGCGAAAGCAAAGGAGCCACCAACAAAACCCAAAACCAACAACCAAAAACCACCAACAAACCCACCCACACAGACACCAGCAACCTGGCATGTAGCTCAAGAGGGGCTACGAATTAGACACCGGCCTCTCAGTACTGCTGGACCGCGAGGTTTTGTCTCTCTTCATTTGTTTGATAGCGCACCTTTTGAGCCCACGCGCTCCAGCGGAGTAGTTTTCAACTAGTGAACAGTGCACCTCATGACTGTACATCAGGTTACTTAGTAGGCGCTAACTATTTGACACGCCGCCTAAAAGTTCGACGTTTTAGTCGCACTTTTCCTTGCCAGGTTCCACTTCTGCTAAGTGGTCAAAGGGATAGGCCACCTGACATGCTAAACTTTGTTCACGTACAAGTAGTGTACGGACCGTTCCGGCATTGTTTCAATGCTATTTTAACAAAAGACCATTGCTAATTCAACTGCACCAAACTGTCGTCTATATCAGTTCAATGCATCGTAGTGTTGTCGTTTGAAGATGCGTGGTTCAGTTGGTGCACGCACCTCCATTCGCCGTCATGCAAAATTCACTCAACATTCGTTCTTGGTTCATCTTCTGGTTCTCCACCATCATCATGTCTTGCATCTGTTATTGTTCTCCCTGCTGCTGCTGATGCTGTTGCACCATTGTTTGTCGCTTCATCTTCCCCATGTTCGCTTTCACTACTCCAATGGTGGAGTGACATCCACATTTCATGGTCCGATACTTCATCAAGTCCAGAATTCAAATATCGAGCCACTTTGGTGATTCGAAGCTCTCCTGATCTCCTTCGGAAGCCTCTTCATTCTCTTCATTGGAACCATCTCTCGCACTCCTCGCAGTTCCATAGTTCCTCCATGGAGTATTGCCAGGATCAAAGTACCCTCCGTCTTCACCACCAACCATGTCACCTGCTGCTATTGCCGTATCAACAGGTAAGGCCTCTTCTCAGTCTCCCAGAAAATCCGGTGAATCATCTCGAGGAGAAAGGTCCGTCATGTTGAAGCAAAACTCGTGCGCCCTTTGTCGTACTGTTGTACTGTAGTCCAACTGTAAGGCAGCAAGTGTTGCCCCCAAAATTCAACGCCTCTGCTCATACCTGCGCCGCCTCTCTTCTGACATCTGTTCCCTCTCCAAACTGCCTGTTACTCTTCCAGCCATCCAGTACAGGAACCACTCAGGGCTCCAAGGCGCCCACCTTGGTTGCAAAGTGGGTGGAGGAGGAGGGAACTTTGGACCTCTCGGAAGGTCAGAAGGAATCACCGGCATTGGATCTTGAGACGAGCTAGCACCTGTAGCTGACACTGGTCTCAAGACAGGAAGGCGATGGTTAATCATGCAAGCCCTATGAACCAGGTGAAACACAAGGGTGCCAGTTTTCTGTAGACTGTGAAGAAATTCCATGTCAGGATGTCCATCGAGAAACAAAATGTTGCAGTATGAGGACGTGGCAGAGCTGGAAGATGACATTCTCTGCTTTCTGCCAACAATCTCTGATTTGGATGTCTTTGGCTGTGAGTTGGATTTGCTCAACCTTCACACGCAGCAACCCT